ACATTGTCCAGATTACAGTGATATCAATGCTGCAATATACAATGCAAATCACAATGCAACAGACTTTTTCTTTTGCATTGTAATGCAGGACCACTCATAAATACACACAAGCACACACATGTAGTCCTACGAGTGTTGAATGGGGAGATTAGAGAGCAGTAATGTGTAATTGAGGATATGGCCTGTAAACGTGGGCTGATAATTACACTGGGCGGCATTTCTCTACAGCCTCTACAGTAATAGGTAAAGTGATAATGGAATTAGTGATTGCCACTTACACAAGAAGGACTCGCGCTAGCCTCCATTAACCATACACGCACATATATAGGCATGTGCACACAAACACACACAGTTTTCTTTCACACTTACAGCTCACGGAATCAGAGCACACAACAGCAGCATTTAAATGCAAATGTATGTTGATTAAAAGGTAAAACTGAGCAGGTTACAACCTGTCCTGCTCACGTCACCCCTGTACGCTTGGCGTCAGCAAATACACAATAATTTATGTTTTTTTTTACTCTTCCAGCTTCTTTTTATATGTAAAAAGCCTTATAACTCACTAAAAAGCACGTAGGGTCCAAAAAGGTGGCTTGGTGTTTAAAAACCCTTTCTTATTTATTTATTTTTCTTCTATCCTTCTCTATTTGTCCCTTTGGCTGAGTGCAATGGATAGAAACATTAGTGTAGCAGAGGTTTAATATATAGGTAGGCAGGAATATAATTTAAGAGGTCGGTGAGAATGACCCTTATATCAGGAGGACCGATCAGACTTCATTCTGTGTTGGAGATTGCCCAGGAGTTTGACAAACACGTACACACATATAAACACTGGCAAACGCAAAGGGAATACGAAGGTAAAGTGACAGAAGATGAAAAAGCTAATAACACGTATCTTTGTGATAAGGGCCGGTGGCCCGTGGGGGTTTGGCTATTTACATGAAGATGAGAGAACACTCTTATTTTTGTTAGCGCAATTAAAAGCTCCTTGAGTGGTACTCCTGGGATGAGGAAAAAAGGTTCAAACATAAGAGAATTACAGTTTAATTAAATGCCAACAAGGCTGGAGAACACTGGGAGAAAACCAACACAGACGACCGTACACAGTGGGGATCAAGAGTCTGAGAGCATTAGTAAAAATGCTTCTATTTTGCATATTTTAAATGTAATAAAAACTAATTTATTGCTATTTATGTTACTATTAAATTGTTTTAAAGACTGATTTAAAAATTTTATAGTAATAAAATGAATGAATGAATAAACAAATAAATAAAATAGCAATAAAAATTAAATAATAAAATGCTAAAAGAAAAAATTAATAAACCGATGACCAATTATATTAGCATCACAACAATTTTAGTGAAATTGTTCAAAATCCTAAAACCTAATTTACATTTTGTAGCCCATATTTTAAATGTGGCCTCAGACTTTTTTGTTAGATCAATGTGAATATTAAATCAGTGCGAGTTCTGAAACAATGCTTTCCATGACATGAACGAATATGATGTTTTTCCTCGGATTTATATCAGATCCTTTATGTAAATTACTAACTACGCCTTGAATATCAACTTAAAGGGGTCATATGATGCTTTTTTAAAGATCATTATTTTGTGTATTTGGTGTAACAGAATATGTTGACATGCTTTAATGTTCAAAAAACACATTATTTTTCAAATACTGCATCTACTTCTGGAAGGCCAAATAAAGTGCTTTTGCTTTCGCACTGAAACACACAGCGTCTCCCTGACATGGCTGCTTCAACACTAACTGCGGTTACTGACACCATGCCTTCTTTCTTTGCGTGCACATTTGCGGCGGGATTATGCAAATATTTCCACATAGTGGGGTAGATATGTGGGGGCGTGTTAGAATGAGCCGTTTTAGGGGGGCGTGGCAGAGTCTTAACTTTTATAAAGAATATCTCTTTGGTTTTGAGACTTTAGTCTTTGCAACTTCAGGGATCTTATCTATGCACAATCAGCTTGTAACACTCCAAAGAGAAAGGAAAACTTGAAATCGCATCATATGACCCCTTTAAATTATATATCCACAGGCCGTTGTTTTATTCAGGGCACCAGAACATTTTAAATGACTCATAAACTCTCTTAAAATGGGTACTGGCCAGTCAGCATAAAGTAAAGCTGATATTGCTGGATTCTGTGCACAATGACTGAATAATACTTCCTGTGCTCAGAGGAAGGTGAATAAATATTCCATGTGCCCCTGTTGACTTCCTCCAACATGAGAAATGGATTAAAAAAATATGCATTTTATAAGGCCAGAGGACTGACAAAGCAGTTTTCACAAGGACCTTATAGGTGGTATTCGCCCAGAGAGCATGTTGTATACCAGTGAACAGTGAGAGAGTGAGGGAGAAACAAATATATTTCTGTGCTGTATGTACAGTGAACACAACGACACATCAATATTGTCAAGACTGCTTTAAGTACCTTAAGTGTTTCATGATTTCATGACAGATTGAACACTGACTGAAACACATTGCTGTGGACTGTAGACCAGTGCTTGGCTTGTTCAATGATATGGAAATAAAATAAATATACTGACTCCTAAAGGAATTTTTGTGTGCCTATTTGCAAGTTTCCACTTCCAAAATGTCTTTATTTGGTATTTTTTCTAAATCCAAATGTAAATACATGTGACTAATTAATCAGTATATGATGTAATTATTTTAATAAAAATTTTATTTATTATGAAAACACAGGTTTTACACAGGTTACTTGACGTCAGAATTTTGATAAATCAAATTATACGCATTAAAAGCATTACCGACAGCCGTTCAAGCATCAAATTACCATTTCTTTGATATTCACCAATTACAAACACTGCTGTCATCAAATATTGCCACCTATTTTAATAATTAATGACGGCTGACAGTTAATTACAGTTGGCTACAGTACTCTACATTACACAGCGATGACTGATTGAAAACGATTTAAGCAAAAACAATCCTCCAATATTTAAGCTTGCCGTTTGTGTGAACACTGAGGTTTATTTATCCTAGTTAGAGAAGAAAACAGCTACAATCCTATTTATTTACAGGCATAGCCAAAATATTTTAGATTTTATAGCACCTTCCTCAAGCTCAAGATCACTTTACACATGTAAAAAGGCATTAAAGACATTGCATTAAAAAAACGTCCTACACAGCATATACACTACTGTTCAAAATTTTGGGATCAGGTTAAAAAATATATATATTTTTTTTATTCAGCAAAGACACTTAAATTGATCAAATGTTACAGTAAAGACATTTATCATGTTGTATAAAGATTTATATTTCAAACAAATGCTGTTGTTTTCAAAGAATCCTGGAAAAAATTACGGTTCTACAAAAATATGAAGCAGCACAACTGTTTGCAACATTAATAATAATAATGTTTCTTGAGCACCAAATCATCATATTAGAATGATTTCTGAAGCAACATATGACACTGAAGACTGGAGTAATGATGCTGAAGATTCAGCTTTGCATCAAATAAATAAATTACATTTTAAAATATATGTAAATAGAAAAACATCACTTTAAATTATAAAAATATTTCACAGTATCTCTGTTTTTCAGCCTTGCAGCCTTGGTGCACATAAGAGACTATATATCTTAGTGCTGTCAATCGATAAAAAAAATTAACTAATTAATTGCACATTTTTTTCTCATATTAATCGCGATTAATACCATCTAACATTAAAGTTTTTAAATATATTTTTATATTGCAATAATTTCACATTAAATCTTCAAATTAATATACAAACAACATAAAGACAGTACATTTTTATTATTTGTTTAATGACATCTTTTTTTTAATGACTGAAGGCCAGTACTGATGTCTCTATAAAATTGTTTTCCCCCCTAATATTTAACCATTGACTATAGCCATTCAACATTACAGTATAATTGAGAGCTATCAATTTGAACATTTATTAGACTTAAAAAAAATAACTTCTAATTTAAGTGAACTTAAAACATTCTTCACATAAACCCATTATAATAAATGTCATATTTATCTGTGCCCTTCAGCAGAACTATACAGAAATTGAAATTCTAAATTAAATAGATGAATCCTTAAAGCTATAAAAGCTGCTGAACATGATGCAGATCTGACACGCATCATATTTTATCTCAACTCTCTCTACCTTTTCTCTCTCTACCTTTTCAGGTCTTAAAGTCTTTAGTAATGAACTGACGAGTTAAATCAGGTGTGTTAGATGAGGGAGACGCGGTGCTCCAGGATTGTTTTGAAAACCATTTCAGAGACATGTTCTTAAATGTGACTCATATAAAATATATTACATGCATGCACAGTTTTAAGGCAGCTTTAATCGCCTTTTTGATAACTTCATGACTTAACTTACCACGACATTGTATGCACGTAGTTTATTTCGCACGTTGATATGAAATGATACAGGGTACAGTTTACGCTGGCGCCTTTGTGCATGCAACTGAAGAGCACACGCTGCAAGCACAGTGCCGTTTCTGCGCTCGTTTGACTCGTGCCTGACGCTGAAGTGAAGTTGGAGCGCGTCTGAAACGTCTCCGGTTTGATGTGGTCGTAAAGACGTTCTGTGACTGAATAAATGCACTTCTTGTCAATAGAAAAAGTGACAGAAACAGCAGTTGTGAGGGGGTGGCCAACGTTAGCTCCACCCCTGCATTAATCGCGTTAAATATTTTAAAAATATTTTTAACGCGTTAAACTGAAAAAAATAATCGTCTGCGTTAACATGTTAATTTTGACAGCACTCATATATATATATATATATATATACATATTCCAAACGTTTGAATGGTAGTGTAGTGTAATGATCGACCCAGGCAAAGCTTTTTTTTTTTTTAAATATCCTTTTTAAAGTACCATTCGGTTACATTTATTACTCCAACAATATACAATGATAAATGTCTTTGAGCGGACATACTAATGATCACATTTCTTTTGTGTATCGTTTTGTCAATTAGGATTCAGCAAAAGAGATGAAGTGCTCACCCTGCTCACAATCAAATTCCTCTACGGTGGAGACGAAGTGAGGTCTGGAGTAAAAGTTGTGGGGTCCAGGCTGCTGAAGACCCCCCAGGCTGAAAAACGCCCTGTCGCTGGCAGCGCATGAGGAGAACGCTCTGCGGCTGGGGATGCACGGGTACCGCGTCCAGCTCTTCATCTCAAGGTCGAAGGCCTCAAATGCGGTCACTGGCAGCTTGCCCTGACGCCCACCTGTCGGAGGGAAAATAAGAAGAGGGTTGGAGGATTAAGATGAAGTATACGTGTGTGTGGTATCTCTCTGATAGGACTCAGTCAGTGTGTCACGTCTGTCCCTGCTGGGAGTCAGTGTGTGTGCGATTACCACATGTCACGGCTCACTGACAATGCTTTGGTCTCCTCAGACAAGCTGACAGCCTATTCCATTATTGGGTCTCTGACACACACAACACACACACGCATACACACACAAATATGCCTCTAACAGCACACCTACAGCCATACACACAAAAAAAAAAATATATATATATATATATATATTTTATTATTTTTTTGTTCTTTTTTTGAAGTTAAATATAAAACAAAGGTTATTGGAGTACATTTTACAAAATAAATAAAAAATACTATTTCAGCCTGTCCACTTCAAAATTTCATGTTTAAATTCAATGTGTTACCCGTCATTGCTAAAAAATAAATAGTGTCTAATAACTAGATCTATTATCTCATTTATATCTCAAATTATCTTATTTAATTTCTCATGTCTTTAAGTCATGTATGAGCATGTGGTGTTTTTTATCTTGTTTTTGTATGCAGAATATGCTTATTATTATTGAGATTGCGTAACTGCAGAAAGATGACACAATAAGCGCTTCTCATTGGTAACACAATGAATCTGTTAGTTGAGCTTCTGTGAGTGTGTAGCTACAGTAATATCCATTAGTCACAGCAGACAGCATCATGCCCATGATATGGAAGATAATTTGTTTTGTCAATTAGGATTCAGCAAAAGAGATGAAGTGCTCACCCTGCTCACAATCAAATTCCTCTACGGTGGAGACGAAGTGAGGTCTGGAGTAAAAGTTGTGGGGTCCAGGCTGCTGAAGACCCCCCAGGCTGAAAAACGCCCTGTCGCTGGCAGCGCATGAGGAGAACGCTCTGCGGCTGGGGATGCACGGGTACCGCGTCCAGCTCTTCATCTCAAGGTCGAAGGCCTCAAATGCGGTCACTGGCAGCTTGCCCTGACGCCCACCTGTCGGAGGGAAAATAAGAAGAGGGTTGGAGGATTAAGATGAAGTATACGTGTGTGTGGTATCTCTCTGATAGGACTCAGTCAGTGTGTCACGTCTGTCCCTGCTGGGAGTCAGTGTGTGTGCGATTACCACGTCACGGCTCACTGACAACGCTTTGGTCTCCACAGACAAGCTGACAGCCTATTCCATTATTGGGTCTCTGACACACACAACACACACACGCATACACACACAAATATGCCTCTAACAGCACACCTACAGCCATACACACAGGCTTGAACGTACAAACTCATTTACATTTATTCATTTAGCAGATGCTTACAAATGAGATGAAGGTTTGAACATGCATGACGCTTCTGACTACAACACAAATGATTCATCTTATGGAGACAGTAACACATACACACGCAAGTAATGTCATTGGTAACACAATGAATCTGTTAGTTGAGCTTCTGTGAGTGTGTAGCTACAGTAATATCCATTAGTCACAGCAGACAGCATATTTCATGTGATGAGAATGAAAATGAGGCTGTGATGGATGGAAGTTCATGTCATGCTGTTGTGTATCTGGGGAGAAATCATTCAGCTGATGAAACAATCTGGAAATATAGTCACAGTGGACAAAACAATCAGGAAATTTTCAATAAAAAATGGCATTTTGTAGGATCTTAACATATGATGCAATGGATGCACTGTCCTTTCCACTTCATTTGATAATAATAATAATAGTTTATTTGACATTGTCATTTAAGTCAAATGAAACATGATGTCTACCCTGAATAAGGTCTAAAACCAGTGGTTCTCAACTGCTTGGACCCTAAAGAGATTTTGCCATATACCATATAATCATGCATTTAAAGGGATAATTCATCCAAAACTACAAATTCTGTGATCATTTACTCACCCTTATGTCATTCCAAACCTGTATGACTTTCTTTCTTACAGTAAGTGGAAGATAAAAGCAGATATTTTGAAGAATCTTAAACAAAAAGTTCCACAGTATGGACAACAAAACCCCACTGAGACATTTATCAAAATATCTTCTTTTATGTTTTACAGAAGAAGGCAAGTCATACACGTTTAGATGAGTAAATGGATGATTTTCATTTTTGGGTGAACCATACTATTAAGAAATGCAAAATAAATAACATAACTGGGAGGAGAACTTGTCTCTTATGTTTTTGTTGTGACGTCACAAAGGTCACATGTCCAATTATTGACCCTTCGCAAAGACCCGCCCCCCTTTGTTACTGTTGCTATGTCCGACAAGCCACGCCGCTCTCACGCCACACATCATGTTCTCACGCAGTGAAAAATACATTGCAGAGAATAGAGAAAACTGATTGTGTGCCGACAGACGCGATAATAAGTCTCAGTTTTCAAATTTGCTAATTTAAAAAAAAAATTCAATCAATAAATACCATTTTGTGGCTCTTTAAGGTGTCATGACAGATCACTATCACCTAAGTTCAAGCGGCACATGAACCAATCATCTTTTCATATTTACTTAAAGCATGAAATAAACATGAATGAACATCAGAAGGTATTTTGTTACAACTGCAGAAAGACGTCAATACACACCATTTAAAGTCCACCGAAGTTAATCTACTCTTCTATCTGGTTTGTTTGTCAGATAAAAATGGCAGATTCGGCGTTATGACTGGTCAGATCACCTGTCAATCAAACTCCCTGCCAAGGGTTAATTGAACTCGACAATAGTGACATCTGTCACTAAGTAAAAGCAGCCAAATTAGGTAGATGCCAACATGGAGCGGACATGTCCTCATCCTTGAAAACCATGAACAAAACTAAACAAGGACAAAAAGATAAATACAAACCACACTGCATTAAAAACATTATTGGTTGAGAACGTCTCGGTTACGTATGGTAACCCTCGTTCCCATGCAATAATCGCATGCCAATGTGCATTGGCTCGTTTAGTTTACACTCGAAGTGGATTGGTCTCTCTAAGCGAGATCCCAATTTCGTCGGTCATCCGACGTGACGTCGAGAGTGACCGACTGAAAGGGAACAAGAAACCATTAAAATCTTTTAGTCTTAACCAAAATCATCAATACTGCCAAACACCAACAAATCTCAATGTTGATTTCAGTGACTTTAAGAACATTTCTATAACTTTTGCACAATAAACAGTTGTGGTTCTCTTTTGGGTTGCCACTGTGCTGTATATCCATTGTTTATTCTGGGTGCTGAAACAAAATCAGTTGAGATCGACTGATCTATACAACAAATAATACAGCACAAGAACATAAACCTCTCTGGAAAACAATGTAAAGTTTACAACTAGGGTGTGTATGACTGCTTATGTATGTGAGAGCTCAGAAAGAATCAAACACTGTCACGTTTCCAGGTACGCCTTCATTTTTCCTCGTATTCTTTCCCTCTTGCACGTTCTCTTTCCTTCACTATGCATTCACAATGCGACTGATCTCCTCCCAGCTCTGGCATTACTGCGAGCCCTCTGAGACAGAACAGAGAGCCAGGGAAAACACACACACAAGAGAAAACAAAGGGAGGAGAGAAAGAACCTGTCTGAGGAACAATGCGGAAGAGCGAAGAGATGGAGAAAGCAGGCCAGAAAATGGAAATCCAGTCAAGACAGTGTGAGAGAACCAGATAGAGGAAAAGTCTTGAGGACGGAGCGGCGTGACTCTATAAGAAGCGAGGTTACAGCAGTTCATTTAAGAGGATTTGTTCTCTTGACCTTTGCTGGGTACCTCTAATTAACTTCTTTCAAGTCTTTCAGCCTTTCGACTTCAATCATTAAAGCCTCCATGGTCAAAATTGTGAGAAATTAGCTGAGGGGAACAGGGCAAATACACAAGTGGATTCAACAGAGACGTGTATGGGCGAGATATTGAGCTGAGTGAAGTGCAGCTGGTATTGGGCCAAACCCATCCACAGACAGATTTGAAGACAGACGGTCGCTGCAGCCAGCATCAAGCACACATGGCAAACTAACACACACATCATATGCAAAATAACATTTACATTACATTTACATTTAGTCATTTAGCAGACGCTTTTATCCAAAGCGACTTACAAATGAGGACAATAAAAGCAGTCAAAACTAACAAAAGAGCAACAATATATAAGTGCAAATGACAAGTCTCGGTTAGCCCAACGCAGTACGAACGGTAGAGTCGATGGTCTTTACACTCTTCGGTCTTCACACGAGGGCTGCCGCGGTATACTAAGCTTTTTATATTCGTCTAACAAAACTCAAATTGAATTCAGCTGGACACACTTTCCTGTTAATCACAACAAATGGCCAATCAAAGCACACAACACTGACAAGGTACGCTATACAGTACGAGGCCAAATGCGATTTAAATAACGCATGCTGACTGTCAGTAAATCTGAATTCAAAAACAAAGAAACAAGGAGAGCTTGGATATGTTACAGCAGGGGTCTTCAGCTGTTTTCATGTCAAGCCCCCCTAGGTGAATATAGAGAAACCTGTTACATAATGCATAAAACCGAGTGACGAATTTTATGCCTGGCCTATAACAACATATACTATAGTGATGCATTTATATACTTGCAAAAATAATAATTATTGATGTAAAGAGTGGACATGTATGTGTGGACATTACATTTGAATTCTACTTAACACATGCTAAAGAAGTCTGAATTCATGAGGTTAATTTTTATAAATTTTTATTGAAGTTCATCTAATAATATTGTATTTGTTTTTAGATCCTGAGCTCCTGAAGACCCATGTTGCAGTATAGAACTTTTGATTTTTATACACAATGAATTTTCCAACCCAATCTCACAGCAATTCGTACAAATTTGACAAGGTGGCTAATTTGTACGAATTCACACAATTTGTGAGAAATCGTACATATTTTATGAGGTGGCATATTCGTAGGAATTCGTACAAAGGACCACACCTAACCCCGCCCCCTACACTTAACCATCACAGAAATCGTTCAAAATTGTCCAAAATTGGTCGTAAATATTTGTACAAATTAGCCACTTCGTAAAATACGTAAGAATTGGCTGTGAGATAGTGTTGGAATTTTCCCCCCTTTTGTTTGAGTGAATCGACAATTTCAACTTCTGGTTCAATCAAGGGTGAAAGTTTTTAATTTTAAATTCCAACATTTAAAATTGTATTATATTTGATCAAAAACACAGCATACAGCAATATTGTGAAATATTATTGCAATTTAAAATAAATGTTCTATATATATATAAATTCTTATATATAATGTATTTAATTTCATTTCTGTGATGGCAAAGCTGAATTTTCAGAATTTATTACTTCATTCTTCAGGGTCACATGATCCATGATCATTCTAATCTGCTGATTTGGTGCTCAAGAAACATTTCTTATTATTATCAATGTTGAAAACATTGCTGCTTAACATTTTTTGTGGAAACCATGATACTTTTCCCCCAGGATTCTTTACTGAATAGAAAGTTCGAAATAACAGCGATTAAACATGATTCTTGTAACATTATAAATTCTTTACTGTCAATTTTGTTTAATTAATGTGTCCTTGAAAGTATTAATAAAAAATGGTAGTGTACGTCTTTATCCAAACAATGCAAGACCTGTTGGGAAACATTATTTCTGTCAGGACCACTATCGTCAAAGATGATTGACAATTAGCATACAGTTTGGATTGGCGGTATGGTTCTGTTCTGGGCAAGAACTCCCTGCGCATCCATGCAGCCTAGCATGGATGAGAGCAGGGAGAGCAGCAATAACCCCCCCAGGGTAAACAGAACAGAACCAACATAAATGTATTGCAGATATTGTTAAAGTTCAATAATTTTATGTACACATTTTAGAATTAGTCTGATTCAAAGGAGAATCAGAAGGCTGAATCCCAACTGACAGAGGAGGAGTTGGGGATGGAGGAGGGTAATTAGCTATTGAGCAATGCGAAAACTGCTGATAATACTGAGGGACCTTATATATGAATGCTTAGATAGGTGTCGTATTCCCATAAATAGATGGGGATCAGCTGAGAGTCAGCTGATGCGAGCTTGACTAACGTGACCTGCCAGAACTAACACTACGCTTGATATTTGCAATTCCACTTTGTAGCAGCGCAGAAAATTCGAATGATAAAAATAAATAAAAAAATTCACTCATGAAAACAACACCAGTGGAAAACACCTTTAAGCAGCCTTAAACTTTCTCTGAGAATGTTTTTTATTTCACATTCGAATGGGGTCACGTCGCTCTCCTGCCCACACCAGAGGTAACAATATTAGCGAGCACAGTAGGCATCTTATTTTGGGGAGACAGCATGGTGCATCTGGGTGACGTGTGATCGAGTGTCTGCGCTCATGATAGACCTCGCGGGGCGCATCTCAAAGTAAATCAAAACTAGATTAGCATTCTGTGATACTGGCTCATTCCTCATTCATGGCCTTAATGTGATTTTACTGCCGCTCTATTTGTGGTCCAGCAGCCTGACAAATAACAGAATTAAGTTTCTTAACTTTACTTCTGTCACCAGGCAAAAGATCTTCAATGCAAAACTTTTTGAAGTGGCAAACTGCATCTAAAGCATGACAAGCAACACAAAGGCGAGTAGCCCTTTGAGCACAAGTGAGGGACAGAGAGTGAAAAACAGAGATAGAAAGAAAGAATGATGATGAAGATGGCAAGGAGGGATATAAGCAAAAGCAAGGGTTGCATACAGAGAGACTCTGAATGAATTATTCCCTGTGATGTCAAATCAATGAGTATAAATCTAACCATCAAGACAAAACTGTGTCACAGCGGAGGAGAAGAATCATGAGTCCACAGGGAAAATCTGTATTACTCCCCATTCCACTTACTTCACACATCACATCTCAATTTCTTATAATTTCATAAATTGTTAAGGTTTTTAGGGGTTGAATTGATTAAACTCCAATCAAATTGAACTGTGCAGAAAGAAGAAACAAAATAAGAGTTTAGAGTTAGCTGGAAAAACATAAATAGTTTAAATGAACAAACTCTTCACTTTAGTTTTTACTATTTGGTTATAAAAAGTCCCCAAAACCATTAAAGGAAGATGAAGTTATTTATCTATTTTTTTTTTATCCCAGAGGCAAATTATTGGTGGAGATGCACATTAACATATTCTCCTTAATCTACGTTCAAGCAATCTTAAACAGCATATCAGAACATCTCTACTGAATTCACTGCATTTCTATTCACATTCAGTCTGAGCTGTAAAATGAAACCAAACAAGACTAGATAATAAGTTGAAACACAGAAGTTGTACTTGCTGTGAGGGACTGTAAGTCCAGGTGTGTACTGTAACAGTAATGAGGGCACATCTGCTTCACCAGGCTGATCAATAATATGCTGGCATGGGAAGGTGATGTTGTCCATCACTCTTGCCATGTCCAGCCTACACCTTATACAAAAAAATCTTCTGGCCTCATTAGTGTGTGTGTGTAGGGAGGCAGTTTTAATGACTTCTCAAAGAGTGAGAGGGCAGCTGATCTTTGTGTCTGACCTGAACAGAATGTCTCACAGTGCAGAGAGGTTAGAAAGAGGACAAATCTGGCAAAACAAGACCCCATACTGGCAACCCCACATGCTCATCAAACCCATGGGCACAAACACACTCTGATCAACTATCAAACTCACACATACACAGTTTAACCATTCCAAATGCTCATCAAACTCAGGCATTTACATGTACACATTTGGCAGAGGCTTTAATGCAAAGCAACTTAAATTGCTTTGTATCAGTTCATGCATTAACACATTCACCTAGCTATTTAAATATGAAATGTTCTTAATTATTATTAATTATTAGATTATTAACCCTAATCTTAAAAGAAATCTTTGGCATGTTTAGAATGAAAAAAGTAACATGATTTTTTGTTTCTGAATCTATTAATTATATAAATAACAATAAACAATAAAACTGCAATTTATACATACAATTGATTGAAGATACTTCTATATAAAATTAATTTGATATTTTTGGGGGAGCTAAAACATGATGCCAAATCAAAGTCATATGGCGTGACTAACATGCTGAAAACAAATCATGAAACCGAGTACATACTGCACGATTTTCAAAGTCATCGGATCACTGTTGTTTTCAGACTGCACCACTATCTGGGGTAGCATTCAGTTGCTGCTGTGTTCACATTGCACGATGGATCGGTGACAGGAGGTTACACACTGCATGACTTTACAATAGGTAAAGTCTGGTCTGGTCTGCAAACTACAGCCAAAACGCACACGAGACGTGAAAAGGAAATTACACAAGATCACGCTGATATTCTGGTCTATAAGTCCTCCCCGAACACACACTAATTAAAAAAAAATTACTTCCTTGTTAACAACATACTTCTGCTGGGAAAATGTTATATACACTAATCTAAGTACTTGAAAGTGAAACCAACGTTTTGTGCATTTTATAATGAGTTTATTTCTTATAGCCTACAAAAGCCCTCAAAGTGATGAAAAAGAAAAATGCAATAAATCTTTTGTCCTTTATAGAAGAATATTATTTACAGGAAAAACCCAAGCCCCCTTTAATGTTTAATTATATATATATTTCTTCATGTACCTGTTTTGTATATTCTAATGCAAACATTTTACGGGCGTCGGCGACGCATCTGCAATTCTCTCAGATTGCGTCTTTGATCATTCACACTGCGTGACTGTCACTCGCGTGAATGAGCACTGATCTGCCTCCAATTTCGGACATTTGTCGGCAATTTCGCAAAACCTTTCGGCAAGTGAAAATCAGGGCTAAAAGTGTGCAGTGTGAACTTGGCATAAGTCTCTCAAAATATCCAACAGCTTTACTTTTTTATGAAAAGTTGTAAAATGTAAAACCCCAACATTTTTAAAGGGGTCATATGATGCGATTTCAATTTTTCCTTTCTCTTTGGAGTGTTACAAGCTCTTGGTTCATAAAGAATATCTGTAAAGTTGCAAAGACTAAAGTCTCAAATCCAAAGAGATATTCTTTATAAAAGTTAAGAGTCAACCACGCCTACCTAAAATGGCTCATTCTAACATGCCCCCACATGTCTACGTCATGATGTGGGAAGATTTGCATAACGCACGGTTTTTATCAGCCCTGGCACGGCATAAACAATTACCAGGTGTTGTTACCACATCTGCTGCTCCTGGAGAATATTGTGAGACAGTCTGACATGGAAAATAAGTTACATTATAATTACTGGCTAGTCTAGTACTCCATCTGCTAAGCACCTCTAGAGAGAAGACTCACATTTTCATTCCTTTAAAACAATAAATGTTGATGATATGCATAGACATACTCTACTGTTCCAAAGTATGGGGACAGTAAGATTTTTTTTTTTTAATAAAATAATACTTTTATTCGACAAACACACATTAAATTAATCAAAAGTGACAGTAAAAACATTTATAATATTACAAAAGAGTTATCCAATTCAAACAAATGCAGTTCTTTTTTTTTTTTTTGCATGGTTTCCACAAAATATATTAAGCAGCATGACTGTTTTCAACATTGATAATGATAAGAAATGTTTTTTTTTAGTAGCAAATCAGCATATCAGAATGATTTCTGAAGGATCATGTGACACTGAAAAGTAATGACTGCTGAAAATTCAGCTTGCATCACAGGAATAAATTACATTTTAAAATACAATAGAAATAAAATAGAAAACAGTAATTTTGAATTGTAAAAATATTTCACAATTGTTCTGTTTTCACAGTATTTTAAATAAATGCAGCCTTGGTGAGCAAAAGAGACTTTTTAAAAAAACATTTAAAGTCTTATCACCCCGAACTTTTGAACAGTAGTGTATAGGCCTATACAAAATATGCATGATTATTGTAGGAAGAAAGTGTTTTTCTAAAATGCTGTAACAGAAATCAACCATTCATGTCTAAATGTATCCAATTATTCAGATTATTTGCTCTGATTTACAAATTTTGTCATAATCGACACTCTTAAAAATAAAGGTGCTTCCCGATGCCAAAGAATAAACTTTTTTGTCTAAATGGTTCCATAAAGAACCTTTAACATCTGAAGAACATTTCTGTTTCACATAAGGTTCTTTGTGGCAAAATAAATTTCTTCAGATTATAAAAAGGTAAGAAAGAGATGGTTCTTTAAAGAACCTTTGACCGAATGGTTCTTTGTAGAGCCAAAAATGGTTCTTCTATGGCATCGTTGTGAAGAACCTTTTAAGCACCTTTATTTTTAAGAGTGTAACCACCATCATGTCACTAGAAAACAATATAATTTTTTTTCCTGTTGATGAAAATGCTGAAGTTCAAGTTAAATGGCTGTCAAGATTAGATTAGAAATGAGAAAAAAACTATGTTAGGTTGGGATTTGAATTGTGGATCCCCTTTCACACTAAACAAAAGTTTTACCATTAGATTCTCCTGCCTGTCTGCCCTTTTTATTATTTGGTCATCTCTTATTATTCCTAGGGAACCAAGAGTGTGTCTCTGACAAACAACCGAATTATTAAGATTTATGAGACCATTTTATGAGGGCTTACCTAGAACATAGATCTTGTTACCGTGCAGGAAGGAGAAGGCTCCGTAGCGTGGGGTGGGCATGGAGGTGAGGGGCAACCACTGGTCCTTTGTTGGCTCATACAGCCTCACTGAGGCCTGAGGGGTCGTGTCAGCTCCCATCCCGCCCAGAGCATACACCTTGCCATCTGAGAGGGTCAGACAAAAAAGAGAGAGTCTGAAATTAGTTTAAACTCTGTTTCCAAGTCTCCCACATCCCTTATTACAGTTTTTCTCAATTGCTTAAACACACTTGTCCACTCAGACATCACATTTTCAAAACAGTTAACACTCAGGCTGAAACTGAAGCTCAATGGCCAAAATGACTCATTTTATTTGTAAAATGCTCCAACACTCACAAAACATTAAAAACATGCAACATAAGCAAATACTTCCATCAAACACCACAGCTTGTGGTCAAATTAATTTATTCTTTCAATCAATCATTACACAATGGACAACAAATTACAAAACACAGCTATCAATATGAAATTACACTGTTCAAACTCAGAAGTGTTGAATATAGTTTAAAAAAACAAAAACAAAGGAAACTTATGGATGGTAATATCTAAAAAACAAAATGAAGAGTTGAAATACTCAGAACTTCAAATTGGATGTTTTCCCTTGCAGTGTTGCAATGCACCAATGGAAATACCTCCTTGCATGGCAAATCCATCAACAGCCCTCTCTCTTTAGGTGAAACCAGTCTTTCATTTAGTGCATCAAGAAATGTGATGAGGCATTCTGTATTGAACTGATAGTTTGTATGTGGCAAAGGACATCATTGGAGATGGCAGCACACATGGTGATATTGGCACCCCTCTGACCTGGCACTGCAACAGTGACCCTCTGCCCAATAAATGTTCCTCCCGCGTCTCCTCACTTTACAGAGGTTGAAGCTTTGGCCTCTTTGATCCATACTTGCAAATAGCAGGACAGAGGTGGAATCTTTTATAAAGGCATGAGGACTGATTGCTGATTGAAGAGTTGTGCAAATGAGTTTCACACAAGTGCACTAGAAATTCATAATTATGCAAGTACTTTCTATCAGCTGTGAATAAATGTTTTCCTTTTGTTCAACACAGTGAATCCAATAGAGTTTGGGGTCCTTCAATGAGATCTGTAGTGACTGTTTTGACAAAGGGTGTGAAAAATGTGTGAAACAAATGAAAAAGTGTTAAGGCATTTGCAAGAGAAGACTTCTTCTGTGCTAAGAATGTGATGATGAAGATCAAGTGGATCCTAGTTTCATTAAGCGTGTCTTAGCAAATGAGAAAAACTGTAAACAAATTAATAACAAACAAATCAGGAAATGGCAGAGCAGTGGCAGTGAGTCACTAGTCTGAATTAGGAATGTTCTCTCCATGCCAGAGTGGAGAATCTCTAGAGACATGCACCTTTTTTTTCTGAGCTCCAGCTATTTTAAGGTTTACTTAAATTCCACCTCTAAACATCACACTCCACATTTGTTCTCTTCCCCTACGGGGACTGAACATTAAATATGAATGTGTTCCCATAACTGACCCAAACTTTTGAACTTTCCCACAAACTTCTCTATTATAGCTCTGCCTGAAATATATACAGTACACTACTATACTTTTTTCTCAATTGCTAAAACACATTTAATCCCTGGTGAAAAACCAGCTTATTCTAGCATGAATGCACACGTTTGTTCAGGCTGGTTAGTGCGACTTTGCTGCTGGTAAAGTTGGTGGATATGTTTAATCATGCTGTTTACTTTGCTAGCTGAGCAAAGGTCGAGCAAAGAACTCCTGCTGGTTAAGCTAGAAGCCAGATGTAGACAACAGCATCCAAAACACAACATATGCTGAGCTATAACAAATATAGCATGAAATCAACTTAAATTTTACAAACCTCAAACTTTACACAAAAAACAAACCTCATCATATACCTATAAAGAGCCAAATTTACATTTTAGAAGAAGGCATGTTGGCACTCAAAAGTGAATGGCAGAGACTTAATTTAATACTATTCCTCTAATGTGAACGCTTTCTGTATTGTTTGCATCTAAAGCCCAGAACTCCGTAGCTATTTTTGCAAACCCCATTCTGGCTGCTGTGTGAAGTAGTTTGCATACTAATGTTCACATAATGAGAATTGTGTGTTAACTGAGGTTGTGATGACATTGTGATGGTTTCTGAATGCTAGTGCTTTCAACATGAGCCCAAAATGGTTATAAAATGATTCATTTGTATTTAGAGTTTTGAGAAAAAAATGCAACTTGTGTTTATATGTTTGAGGAATTAGTCTTTGTTTGTAAAAGTGAAACTGATGGTTCATAAGATCATACGTTTTGAAAGTGCTTTGTCCCAACAGTTCCAAAATAGTAAAATAATAATAATTAATATAAAAATAATATTTATTAAAATAGAAACAGAATCCCATAAATTTCATTATTATTTAATATACATAATTTTGTCAAATAATAATCATGGATTTTAGTGTGAAAACAACTGAGAAAAACTGTAACTAATCCAATTTATAGAATATATGTGTCTATAATTAAACAGAGCACCAGACAAATTATATTACATTCCACTCTGATATAACTATGCATTTAAAACACAGCTTTTAGGCTCAGTTTAGGCTTAACTCTAATCCAAAAATGACCTTCATAAAGTTTTCAAGGGAAAATGCAGCACAGCGGTGAAATTAGGATATGAATGTGGAGAGAAATGCAGCATCAGCAAAGAGAACAGCCCTGCTGCAGCACAGCCAACTGCTAATGGAAAGAGAGAGAGACAGAGAGAGAGAGAGAGAGAGAGAGAGAGAGTTGTATGTACAGTTGTGGAAGAGAAAAGCATCCTGATATTGATGCTAGTCATAATTTTACTGAACTGTCAATGGGACAAACAGCATGTGAGAAAGAGCATGGGAGTACTGACTGATGTGCACATACGGTTTATTATGCCACTGAAACACCCGAATCAAGACATCAGGATCATCCCTGGAGGAAACAGCATTAATGATCACCATATGGAGCGTTTAAGACTGTGAGAGAGGATGTATGTTAGTTAAAGACAGTTTCGGTATTATGTCTGTATAATTCTCTCCTGGCATGACTGCAGCAGCTGCTGACTCAGATATCTGCAGCACTCTGGGACAGCAACCTGTGACTATAGTTAACTGCAGAACAAATGGGACAGATAGAGAGAGATACCGGGGAGTAAACTAGGTGGCAGCAGAGAGTACTGGTCATGCCCTCCAAAATAAATTAATAAAACAAATAAATTAAAAACTGTAACTACTGTAACAGCAATATATTATATATGTTCCTTGCAAAAACAGTTTATGTAGTCATAATATAGCACTGATTTCTGAATGGATATTAATGAAGTGGTGTCCACATGATGTAGTTACACCATTTACCAGCAGGGGGTAACTAGACCATGCTAACTAGCCATACCTTGACCGTTTGAAGAAGCTATTTAAGTGTTGGGAAATCATAACTATGATGTGATGTGCACTCAAGTCTTTTCTGACACAATCCTTAATTATTTCTCTCTTTTTCTCTACCTGATAATGACAAAGCCATTTTAGTGCTACTGTATAAAAAATGAAGAGCAATGAATGTGCATTAGGTGTGTAATTGGTTGTCACAGAAAATGATGGGGAAAGCAGCTTGGTCATACAGCCTTGTCTCCTCATAAACAGGCTAAATGAATAGAATTTTCTAACGAGTGTCATCACTATTCTTCATCAACACTACAGAAAATGCATACAAATTAATCTGACCATCACAGTTATTACTCAGGATTAATACTAATTTGCTTCCACCGCAATTCTTTAATCAGTAATGTTACTGTTAACTAAAATGATTAAAAATAGTTTTTTGGCAATTGAATTGAAGCTGAATTGAATTATAACATGAAAAACTTATAAATTAGAAAAATAAGAAATCTTGCTTTGGCAACTAACTGAAATGAGATTAAGTTGAGGTACTAAAAGTACTATAAATAATAAATTAAAAAAGTAAATTAAAGCTATATAGAATTATTAAAAACAATGACACAGAAAAACACTTAAAAATGGCAAAAGAACATCAAATTACTAAAGCTTAAACTAAGGTGACAGAAAATAATTAAAATAATAAAATAAAATAAAAATATAAAAATAAAAGCTCTCATTATGGTGTCCGGGTGTGCTCATATGTAGGCCTATATGATTATTTTGACATGATTTGAATGCAGCTTATTATTGTTTTTGCGCTCCTACAGAGTATTATGGTAAATGCAGTTTCCCATGTACACTCAGACCTCATAAACTGCCTAAAAGCAATGTTCTTTCCAGCACTCTGAAGCACACTCTACTTCTCTATTTCTTCCCCATTGCTTGCTATATGTGAAAATTACTTTTAGTGAAGATTTTCTTTGTCCTTTTTGAAGCTTGACAGCCACAAGTCACTATAAATTGTCTTTGCATGGCAAGAGCTGCAAAACAATTCCTGAAAAATGTGTTCCACCAAAAATATAACAGCATACGGGTCTGGAACAACATGAGGGAGAGGAAACAATGACAGAATTATTTTTGGGGAGAATGGTCAATTTAAAATTCTCAGTGAGTGTGAAAGGAGAAAGTATTTTAGTGTCTATTACATCACCTTTAATGCTCCAGAAAGTGAGGAGACAGTGAGAGAGCAACTGTGAAAGCAAGAGGTCTTTCAAGGCTTGTGTGTATATGACAGCAAAAAAACAACACTCAAAGATCATGACCACCATCTTCACTTTCATCCTCTTCACTGAATTCACTCTGATGACCACAAATGATTTCTCCAGTTTGATTTGATACGGCCTGACGTGTTTACAAGACTGTGTAAAGCATGAAAGAGACTGAGAGAAAGAGCAGGACAGAAATATCTGAACAGTGCAGAAGGATCTAATGGCTTTAGAAACTAACATACTCAAGTTTTTCTTCAAAGGGTCGTTTCAAGGCTATTTTCTATAAAGATTTGCAATAAATTAAGCAATTCCGCGGACATTAAAAACACTTTGTTCTATCCACCCACAATAACATGATAAAACAACAAAAGCTCTTCCATGTAAAGAGGTTTTGTCATAAACATCCACTGCAGTGATAAGCAACGGCCAACAGAACATTTTATTGAAGGCTTGTCTCATATTTCATGCTA